TTAAGCATTTCAATGCATTTGTAAGCTTGCGATCCACTGCTGTTTGTCTTTGCTTTAGCCACCGTCAGCTGTTCCTACACACGTGCAGCAATCAAGTTTCAAAATAGTTCAGCTTTTGCCACTGTGTGGATTAATACTGATTGTGTGTTGCTGTTTTTTCTTATGGTTAAGAATAGTGCAATATGCTGGTGTTTAACTGCATTGCTTTAATGTTTTTTGTGATTTGTATTGTTCAACACATTGGTCAACCTTTGGTTGTGTATAATAGTGCTATATAAATATTGATATCGCAATACCAGAATATACAGCAATCAAAAAATGAAATTCAATACCTTTTAAGACCTTTTTTAAGACTCTTTCCATACATTTTAAGACCTTATAACCACTTAAAGGTTTCATCCCAAACACTAGTGAGATTTTAACTTACAGTATATTTATAAAATAATGTAAGAAACTAATCCAAAACTAAAAAAAAATATTCATATACTGAATAAAAATCTATTAAATCTAGCTAATTCAGTAGGCTTGCGCCTATAGAACTGCAGAAATAACAATGTTGCCTTGATTACTGCAGTAAATAAAGCAGCATGATGTCACATCTAGCAGGATTTTAGGCTGTTTCTCAATTTCAAGAACACAGAGAATGGACTTGCTTTCTTGGGGAGACCAGTCTTGCCAAGTTTCCTGTAAGAAAAAACTTGGGGGACTGCGAGAATAGAAAATGCATCGTGTGAGAAATGAGATGCTGCATTCTTCACTGGTTCTTCCTGATGGTCACATGATCTTCACTCATTTTTAAGGGAAAATTATTTAAACATTGCAGCATTCATACAACAATTTGTAGTTTTTTTTTTTTTTTTCCCTTTTCTCAATATATATTATGCAGACCTTACAAATGTACATTGCACAATACAAAAAAAAAAAAAAAATTAATACGAATTTCAGCAAATAAACACCCTTAATGTGTTTATGCCTTTATAAAGATTTTCATATTAATGTTTACTTTCATAATTTAATTTAGGGAAATTCCTGAGAATAAATAAGTTAAATCTCTAAACTTTAATATTAAATCTATAGTAAATGCCGTGCTGCCCATCTCCTTTATTCAGCCGCAATGACTTCTGGGACTTCTTTTTTTTTTTTTGTGATCAAGTCAAATTTTGCGGTTAAGTCTGCATTGATGTGTCCTCGATATCAAGAACACATCCGGGAAGTTTCACGCATCCTCCATTCTTGCGGTCTTGAGCTTTGGAACTGAACTTTGGCAGTTGATGATGATGTTACACGAGGACGCAAGAACGCTGAAGAACACACATTGAGAAACACCCGTATTGATTTCATAACCTACATCCTAATATTCACAGATTTAATTCAAGCAAACTTTAGCATACAACCGTACATTGCATAATTTAAAAAAGATATAAAATTTAATACCTTGCAAAAAAGCATTTAAAGTTTTTAATACTTTTTAAGGGCCTTAATTTCTCTAGATTGTTTTATCAACTTCTAATACTTTTTTAAGACATTGCGGACACCATGAATATATATCTCAGCAAAACAAAACATTACAACGTCAGATTTTTACAAAATTGTGCAGCCCTAATTCAGCCTATGTTTTTGAAACCACAAAAAAAGTACTTCAACGTATATTTGACTGCAGATTCTAGGTATAATAAACACTATGGCCAGTATGACTCAAACTAATTCTAGTTTTTATTTCACACTACTGACATTTATAGGACATATTTTAAACTTAATATTATTTTTTTTGCTCGTATAGTTCTTAGAGCAACAGCAAACAAAAAAACTACTTAACAGTGTCTGTGATTCATACTTAAATATTTTTTTCTTACCTTATTATCTCCATATGGACAACATTTCTGATGTTGTACTCATGATGCAGAGTCTTATGATGCAAATCTGTTTATCACGGTTCCAAAATCGAGATAAAAGTAAAGCAAAATCAAGGTAAAACTACATGGTCACGGTGGCATTTCTTTTACGTTTCCTTTTGAAACACTATTGGTTAGGGTTAAGTCAGTGACAAACTAGTTGATCTGTGCGATAAGCCTCTTTGCATGGACTTGTACAAGTAGGATGTGTATCAGAAATATAAAACATAACAGCACACTGTAGTAGATTTGTCATCTGAAACGTGAAATGAAACGTCCCCAAAACAACATATTCCAGGTTTTACAGAAATGTACTTCCAATTTATTTCCATTAGAATTTGCCTGTGCTGTGGATTTTAGTTTTAGTGTTGGTGCAGCTGACTAACTACAATAGGTATGCAAAAAATTGACTGCTTGATTAAAGTATTGGTTGCATTTGCTCTTACCTGAGTCCCTAAGCAGGCCACCATCATGTGTGTGAGGAGTTTGGCAGCGAACATGAGGAATCTTGCACACATCAGATGAGACACCATGGCCAAGGCAAACCCTGCCAATAAAAAAAGAGACTTACTGTATATGTGGTATAATAAACAGATGGTTTCTTGTCATTTTATGGTGGGATTATTACACCCTAAGCATAAATAGAATAATGTAGTGAGTTACCTGAGATACAAATGAAGCCAGCAGCATAGAAGGCCTCATTGAATGAAGCCAAGCTTTCAATCTCTGCATATGCAGTGTAGATGGACAGATGCGAACAGGCACACTCTACATAATTCTGAGTGTCGTCCACCAAACGACAGAACTGGCCATCAGACAACCAGCTGGGCAGAAGAAATCATGACACACTTGTCAGGACAAGTCATATACAACAAAACTAAACCTAGACTGAAAAAACTGCTTAAACACATTTAAGGTTGGTGTTGGGGAGACGATACAGGACCATAAAAGCCAAAACAAACAGACCAAAAAAATAGTACATATCAAAGGGTTGTTGCAATAATGAATGGATATTAAATTGAGGGTGTTTTTGGCTTTTTTAATCTTACTCACTTTTTAACTTGCTGCAAGGAAGTGCACTTGCCATTTTATACGCTTGGACATTAAATTGTATGCCTTTCTGGCATACATTTTACTCACTTTTAAATTTAAAAAGCTGCTAAAAAATGCCCTTGTCATTTTATACGCACATCATACGCACTTTTAGTATTGTTAGTATTGTTACTCCTTTTATAATTATTAATTTTTGCCATTTTATTTTTTTTATCTCTTGTTATTATTGTTGTTGTTTTAAATAAATTGGACTACACTGAAGGGAAGGACAAACGTAAATTCTATTGTGTTTTGTACAATGACAGTAAAGATTCTGAATGGATGAATGAATGAATCTTAATGAAGTAGTTTGTATAGATGTTAAATACTTACAACATAATACGTTATATTTACTGTACAACTTCACTATTAAAAATCAAAAGCTAAATTTGTTCACGTTGAAATGTTTATTAATTAAGAAAAATAAATGCTTCAGAACAATTTTTCAAGATAACTAACTTCTTGTAAATAAATTTAATGCTACTACTACTACTGCTACTACTACTATTACTACTACACCTACTACTACTACTACTTTTACTACACCTACAACTACTACTACTACTACTACTACTACTACTACTACTACTACTACTACTATTATTACTACACCTACTACTACTACTACTATTATTACTACACCTACTACTACTACTACTACTACTACTACTACTACTACTACTACTACTACTATTATTACTACACCTACTACTACTACTACTATTATTACTACACCTACTACTACTACTACTACTACTACTACTACTACTACTACTACTACTATTACTACAACTACTACTACTACTACTACTACTACTACTATTACTACTACTACTCTACTACTACTACTACTACTATTACTACACCTACTACTACTACTATTACTGCTACTACTACTACTACTACTTCTACCACTACTACTTCTACTACTACTACTACTATTAATAATAATAATAATAATAATAATAATAATAATAATAATAATAATAATAATAAAAATAAATAATCAGTATATTGTGCAAATCTAACTGATACTTCTAAATTATTTCTGGGCAAAGTTTTAGTCAACTTTGTGATCAGCATACTTTTGTTCAGGTTATGATTTGAGAAGTAGCCACTTTGACAGCCTTTCTTAATTATTTGGGATTCAAATCAAATCAAGCAATCAATCAAAGAATCAATCCTGATTTTTGGAATACAGACTTTTGACAGACTTTCATGATTCTTTAATGGGGTGATCCAGAGTGCTTTATTTAGCTGTTGTTTTTATAAGATGCAAAGCAATGTGTGCTCATGCTTCACTTGTAAACAAATCACATTATTTTTTTTTCATATATCTCACAATCCCCAGCTTCAGCTATTATGGTTTGAGTTACTCCTTCTTTGAGAGGTTTTTAGCCAAATCCAGCACTGAACTGGGAGAGATTCTAGAAGCTGTCCTTTGTCAAATGCTAGAGCTACATCTTTTTTTTATAATTCTCTGGACATAATTAAATTAAATTAAATTGTGAGCATTTCTCTCTTTGTGTCTCTTTTGGAAGCATAATTCCAGAATCAGAAGAAGCTCTGTGGAAATAGCAGTGCTTGGACAGAATTTTAGTTTTCAATCCTATAACATTACAGCACATCTGGCCACACCCCCTTCACTGGGCGGTGTGTATGTGCGTAACCTGAAGCATTTGTGATCTCACTAGCCGCTGCCCGGATGTTTTTTTTTTTTTTCTAATGCCCTAATTTCCTTCCCTGTAGGCTTTGCTAAGCTCACGCTGTGAAAACCAAGGTCTCCCTTTGCATTGAACTTTGAGTGTCTTACATTCAGAGATGTTGTTTATGCTCACACATCTGCATTACACATCAACTAAAGTTTAAAAAATGATATCGTAGTGAACCACCCCTTTAACCTCCTAGGGCTTAGCACATTTTAGCTCTTATGTTCTATGCTTTATATTTTGTTACAGACATACAGTGTTTTGCAGCATATGAAACGTCCCAAACACTATTTTAACTGTTCAAAATGAATAAAAAAAATTGTTTTTACTCTCTGATAGTCAAAACATGTTCAAAAATATTTGTGTATGTGTTATTAATGCATTAATAAACAGTCAGGAAAAAAAACTGCTGTGTTCAAGGCAGAAATAAAGAGTACATTCTATTACACAAAGGTGACTTTGTTGTGTTTTATGGAAATTCTGACCACAAGTCCACATATATGGAGATCATTTTTCTCTAAAAGTACATCATATCAAAAGATGATTACTTAGGTTTTGTTCTAATTAGGTTCCAATATGTCCAAATAGCAAGAGAAATAAAAAATTAAAAAAAAAGTCCATGTATAAAAACAGCTTGGGCCTTAAGATTAGGGATAGAGTGACAGAGAGAGACGATAAATTAGACTTGACATTCTGTTCATCTACAGCAAATGAAACTCATGTAACACCCCAGATTATCATTTCAAATGATCTCTCATTATGCTGAATTCCAACTATTAAGCAGTCACTTAGAAAAGTGAGCTTAAGGAATTCAGGATGTCATTTACAAGGAATCACTGTTGTGTAATAAATGGTTATGACACCGAAAAATATTTATTTATTTATTTTGATAGTCCATTTCTTGAATTAAAGTTATATTGCATCTACATGCTAACTAATCCTAATTAGATTATAAGTAGTCTGTTAGGTTGGGGTTAGGGTTAGGGTAAACTGACATGTACTTGCAAAGTGTCTTACAGTCAGTTAAATGTCTGTTGAAGGAGCAGTATCAACAGACATTAAGCAGACAGTCTAATCACACTCAAATGAACCATCAAAATAAAGCGTTACCAAAAATAGTAGTCAACATTCTAAGTGAGTCAAAAATGCTTTTCAAAATTGTCCTAGGACAAGAATGGGTGCTGTTCAATAGTTTTAGGACAACTTTGATGAAAGGTGATGATCTACTTCAAATATTGACTACTGAATAAAACATAATTCTACTGAATAAAATAAGGTATGAGAAAGAAAAAGTGATACATTTTGGATAAAAAGTCATGGATAAAAGCTACACACACCCACATACACCAAATAATGTGTGTGACAGGCCTTAAAAAGACTTTTATCATGACAGGTTAGGAGCCCTGACCCATCAGCTCCACTGTACACACTGTACGTCCCACAAATGACTGTGAAATACATGAACAAGGTCAGTTTTTGACATCAGATAGTCTGTCAATTTGATTCGGATGAGGATTTTTATTTGTATTTTTTTTTTTTTTTTGTAAATAGGCATGTATGTTTTCAAGTACAGTGTGTACAACTGAGCAGAGCAGTTTATGTACCATTACAGGGCTCCTTACTCAAGTGTTCCTGCGCTTTGTAATTACCTTTCTGCAGCCTGATTCCACAGCAGGCACAGAGATTGGCTCGGTTTTGGTTTTCCTCGTCGATCTGGGGTATGTATACGGTAAACAACCTCTTGACCTTCGGAAAGAGGTTTAGATCCTCTGCCATAAAGACTGACTGAAAAAACCTGCATACATACAGTCGTTAGATAGTAAGATGTAAACCAGTTTCCCACTCTCAAGTGCTAATAAAATCTCTATAATCACTATTACTGCTACACAAAGAATTGAAATATGCTGAGAAAGAAAGGAAGTAAAGTAAATGAAGTACAACTGAACAGTGCCATCTTCTGGACACCTGCATAAGCCATCTTGACAATGGTATATTAGTTTTAATAAAAAAGTTTACAATAATGTTTTTTTTTTTTTACCTTGCCATTTAAAGCGCTGGGTTTTTTGTTGGTGAGGAACCAGTGCTCAGTACTGTATTCGGTGAAGTGCACTTTATAGCAAGCCAACGGGGCTGTGCTATCAGCAGGAAGAGCTGGAACCTCCAGCAGGGTCTCCGGCAAGGTAAACGTGTCTGTGTTTTTGCCTATGAACGTATGCCCGTTAATCTGCATGGGATACCAGTGGTGTGCAGCGATGGTGAAATATGGGCAATTATCCAGTATGGTTATGCCTCTGGGAATAGAGTACAGAGGAGAATAATGTTTATAAAATAAAATGAGCTTTGGTAAACTCAGATACAAACATTCATTTGGAGAGTATATCCCACCTTTTTCCTTCTGCCCCACACTTAATGTCTGTAAGCAGGCTGTATGCGAAGCGCTCTGCCACCTCAGACAGCTGGCTTACACCTTGAGTATCCGTTCGATTGGGGTTCGCCATGGCACACAGGAGTTCATAGGTCAACCCACGACTGCTGTCTTTTAGAGGAGTCTGTTCAGCATCACTCAGAATCTGCCAATTGAGTGAGAAAAGATTGTCAAAGAACATTATAATATCAGTTACATTTAATGTAAAAGTTCTCTAGCAGGCACATTACATCACCAGGAGACATGGGATGTTGGATTTTGTTTGGAAATGAAAATTGGGGTAATGTTAGAACCCAACAACAGGTTAACATCAATGTCCAAAGTTCAACATAAAATCAACCAAATATCAACTACAGCTTGACGTTGTGTGGAAGTTACCACTATGATGTCTATCAGATGTTGGATTTTGGTTGCCATACCTGTCAGAATAAATGTCAGTATTTGACGTCAATATGACGTTGGTATAAGATGTTGGTTCACTGTTGGATTTTGGTCACTTACCAACACAACCTAAAATTAACCAAATATCAATGTCATATGTCATATGTTGGACGTGAAAATAACGTTGTCCTTAGACGCGAATTTTTGGTCACTTGACATCACGACCTAAATCTATTGTAGTATTAACCTCTTATGACATTGTGTGTCTGCCGGGCCTGAGCAGATCTCAAACAACAGTATTGGCCCAATAAGTGCATGTTTAACTGGTATTGCATTTATTTTACATTAGCTGTGTGGAAATACAGAAGCAGTCAAACAGCAACAGAGTTCTGTTCAGTAGCAGTTAGATTGCCTATCAGCTAAACCTTCACTAGAAAACAGCACGGTTTCTAAGATAACTTGTATCTATAAGTATGGTGATGCAACACACTAAGAAAAAAAAATAATTATTGGCATTGATAGTTCAATGAAGAACCTGTATCTCATCTATGGAACATTTTCATTGACCAAAAGTGTTTCGTTTTGTTTTTTGTATGGTGGTGCAAAAAGAGTGAAATGTTTCTGGTGTAACCCAAACTGGTTCTTCAATTGCATCACTGCAAAATAAACACTGAAACAAACAAACAAAAGAAAGGAAAATATGTTTGGATTTTTTTTTTTTTTTTGAAGAGTGAAAATGAAAGGCTATCAGCAGGAACTTAATATTAAATTACTTGAATAAATTCTAATTAGGTTAAAATAAAATTATTTAACTTGAAATAGAATTTAGGTTGTTATTATTATTATTATTATTATTATTATTATTATTATTATTAGCAACATATAATTCTTTAATTTTTAGTTCAATCTGCATTTAAAAAATAACTTCAAGCAAACTGACAAGGACACATCACATTTACAACTGAGAAAGCAGCTTAAATTGTAGCAAATCACTGTGTGAAACATTAAGGGTGTTACTCTGTTTCCAGTAATAAAAAAGCAGAGCTTAACTGAGAGACAAAGCTTTCTTCCCAAGACTAGATTTTTTGTTTTACACAGTGGAGCTTTATAGCTGCACACATATGCATTGCACTGCCAAGAAAAGCGATTTCTATGAAATTAAGGAACAAAAAATACTCTGGGGAAAGCTGTCTTAATTGATCTCAAGGGGTCAATATGTGGTCCCTTATTGTTCTTTTGAGCTACTGGATTTCCTGAACTACAGCATTTTAAAAACATTCTCATGAGCCGGCCAACTTAAATACTTGTCTCTCTAAAAACAGATAAACTTGGCTTATTTAACCAAAAATACCTAAATATTGTAAAATATAATTCTACAATTTAAAATGTGCTTTCTATTTTAATATAAATGAAAATGCAATTCAGTGCTGTAATAGAAAATAGCTGAAATTTCCAGCAATATTTTATCCTTAAAATACTAATATGCTCCAAAACAGTGACAAATTTTGATATAATTAAAACTAAACAAGTTTGCAGATTGTCACTTCCATTTATTTAGACCAGCATTTTTTTTTAACATCACCTAACACTTCAGTTTCTCTTCAAATCTTTTGCCCAATTAAATGCTTTCAAGTATTAGACATGCATCTCATTTAATATAAGACGGCTGTAATTTGCTTTTTATTTGATGTGCATGATATTTCAGGTGAGATTACGTCAAACATCAAATATAATCTTTAAGTTTTACTAGGGCTGAACAATTCATAGAAAAATCACCTTCCCTCACTCGCTTACCTTGCTGGAGGCATCCAGCACTGCCATTAGCTGCTCTGGAGTGATGTCCCTGCTAACTTTATTGATGAGTGCATGCAGGACTCGGTTGATGATGGTCTCCTCCAGAGGCTGGTGTAGCTGGTCCAGCAGAGCCCACACAGCCTGAGTCTCTGTGTCTGAAACCAGGGTGACGTTCGCCAGCCCGAATTCTGGATGAACCCGTGCGCCACCGGTAGCATCAGAGAGAACCACTTGGAAGCGTTTGGGTGTCAGATTGGAGGAACCAATGTTTGGTGTGAGGTCTATGTTCAGGCCAGCACTACTCTGTCCAATCTCAAATGTCAACGTGCCCTCTGACATGACAAAATCCTGCCCTGCTACAGCCGGCCAGACCAGACTGGGTCCAATAGACTCTACTTTTGGAAGCTCCTGTGAGAGAATATGAGGCACAAACACAATTATTGTACAGTTAAACATTGGAGTTAACACAATGGATTACAACACAATGATTTTTTTCCCATGAAATTGGAATGTATAAGAGACGAGGGTCAGATTGATGAGTTTTGTTTTGTTTTTTTGTACATATTTTATTATATTGATATTTTTTGAGTAATTTTATATTCTTTTTTTTACTAAAAATTTTAAATCTCAGAAAAGTGGAATATTGAAGCAAAGGTTTCTAGAGATTATCTATTGAAAATGTAGAAATGACTGCCAATATATTTTGCCAGTAATTTACCAAGAGCAGCACAAAAAGTAAAAGAAATATGGCTTGGTAATTGAAATGTTTAGATTTTTTAGATTTTTTTGCTGTAATTCCAAATGCTTAATGAGTTAAATAATAACTTTTTCACCATGCCAGTTCTCTGCAAATATCAGTAAACTGCGTACCACAAAACTTTTAAAGATCATGTTGAATTATTTATTTAAATAATATTCTACCATGACTAAAATATTGCATCTAAAATATTGAAATAATACAGTGGGAAAAAAAGTATTTAACACACACACACACACACACACACACACACACACACACACACACACACACATTGCTAGGTGTAATAACAATGGAATGACACAAGGAGAATGTACTGAACTATTGAAATAAATCTAATATTTTATATAGAATAAAATAGGATGACTGTCATGTGGAAAATGAAGTCACATGCATTGCTCAGGTGTGATTTTGTTCACAGACAACAACAGAGTTTGAATATCTTGATGGTTGTGTGGGTCTTGTGTGGTTCTTGTTTGATCTTCACTTTGAATTTTCTTTTAGATTCAAGTCAGGTGATTGGCTGAGCCAGTCTACAGCTTGATTTTCTTTCTCTGAAACCATTTGAGAGCTCCCTTGACTGAGTTTTAGATCATTGTTTTGCTGAAATGTCCACCCTGGCTTCATCTCCATCATCCTTCTAAGGTAAATGTTGGACTAAAGCAGCTAATATATTTTTTTTTCCAAATCATCGGCCAAATTCCCATCATTATCCCTTACTGATCATGGCCTCCTAATCATCCCCATCCACCAAACTGGCTCTATCACTGGCTGCCATCGCATCATCTAAGTCAGGGGTGTCCAGACTCGGTCCTGGATGGCCGGTGTCCTGGAAAGTTTAGCTCCAACCCTAATCAAACACACCTAAAGCAGCTAATCAAGCTAGATATGCTAGGATATACTGAAAACCAGCAGGTGTGTTGAAGCAAGTTGGAGCTAAACTCAGCAGGACAGTGGCCCTCCAAGACCGAGTTTGGACACCCCTGACCTAAGTGGATGCTACACACTTGTGGTTGTGTGTGCTATATAAATATACACATTACATTACATCTGGTGAAAATTTCAAGTCAACAGCACCAATGGTGATGTGATGAATACTTATTTCCCCCACTGTTGACACACACACCCACATATATATATATAAACCTATACACAAATACATTTATATAAATAAAGTAAAATAATAAAGTGTGCCTACGTTTTTATCACAAAAAATGATCTGCACTGTTAAAAGTGTACTAAACCTGAAAATGAATAGCATTTCCTTAAGCCTTAAGCTGAAACAGTAGGCAAATAAAACTGTACAGAATAAAGGAAAGGGTGTGACAGAGAGACAAAAAGCGCAAAAAGCTGGCATGAGAAAGCATTCCCACAGTCTAATGGACTTTGGGCGTAAAACCTTAATTGACATGTCACATCCTACTTTTCCAGTTCCACTATATGACCATAGATATTGCCTTTGAAGTATTTTCTAGGAATCCAGAGGCTTATTGCTCAGAGCTCTTATCTTCTCTACATTCAACATCGTAGCTCAAGAATTTGACATCATCTTAAGCCTCTCGTCACTAATAAGGTCACATTATGTAATATATTCCATGGGTACTGGTAACTGGACATAATTATAAAAAAAAATAATAATAAATTGCTTATTAACAATTATAGTAATTATAATTACTAATTATAATTATTCTAATAATACACAAATAATACACAAATTATGACTAACATTAATTAATACTATATTATAATTATATCATATATATTTATATATTATAATAACAAAT